TCTCAGTAATTCTTTGAGATGCTGGTTAGTTAATAATGATCGGTGTTTGGATTTCACGAATTTTAAAGTGGAATAAAATGATTCACATAAGTAAGTTGTTCCGAATATCAAAATAATTTGACAAGCAGCCTTTTTTTATTCAGGATACTTCGATTCTGGTACAAATTTCCAAAATTCAGTAATCGACGTCGACTTATATTTTAAATTTGGTGCTTGATCTTCCTGCATCTCTATTAATTCTAATTCTCCAGATGCTTTTTGGGTCATAATTATATTGGAAATGGAAAACACTCACCTTGAATTATGTTAATTTCAAATGGATTCAGAAAAAAAATCAAGAGACGATTTAAAGTATTTCAAATCTTGAAATCTATTTTGTAATTCCGTCAATATTCCTTCTAGCCTTTTTATATACTCGTTGAGTTTTTCTTGTTTAATATTGAAACAATTTTTTTTTAATTCGAGGAAAATGACAAAATGTTTTATTTCTAATGTCCTTATGAAAAAGTTGTAATTTAGTTTGAAAACTATATATATAACGTGAGAGGTCAGATATTATTTTATCTTTCCCCTGCAATTGTAAATTCAGTGTTTGCAAATGTTCCATAGGTTATTTCCTTTTTTTTATAGGTTATTTTCCTTTTTTTAATAGGTTATTTCCTTTTATTTTAGAAATGCAGTTATCGGATCAAACAAATCTAAAAAACAATTTAATACGTTGTAGCTAGATAACCATCTCAGAATGCAGAAGAAATTAATGTCATTTGGAAGTTCTTGGTCCTATAATTCCTTAAGGAAATTTTCGAACTGTCGACGAATTTTTGCATTGGTGCAAATGTAATTTACGATATGTAACACTGTTTTCATAACATCAGGATATTTTAAATACTTTGTAACGAGATGTTCTCGGTAAATTATGCAGTGAATCGGTATGAATTGTAGAATTTGAGAATCATCTCTTAAAATCCCAATAAGACCGATGTTTTTTACCCATCATTGCCGAAGCCCTATCAGTTGCAGTGCTTCCAAGTTTATTAAGAAGTACATCAGAAGTTTTCATTATGGAATCTAATGCGTTTTTAATATCGACACCGCAGACTCTTGAAGTGGCACTAAATCTAATAATTCTTCTCTAACAACGAAGTCAGGTAAAACAAAACGTATAAAAACTGCCAATTGCTAAAGATCTGTGATATATCTGTCGAATCGTCAAAGGAACGATAGTCATTTTGTTAAAATATAATAGCACAAAAATGAAAAGGGAACTCGGGTACATTTATCGAGAGCCACAAATAATCCTTCAAAGAGCCGCAGGTTGGCCACCCCTGATCTATAATAACCTTAGTAACGGAAATTGTATAAAAATGATTCTGTTTTACACAATATTAATATTCAATATATGATATTTTATACTGATTGTCCTTAATATATCTCTATATATTATTATAATTATGTCATGGAAGGAACCAATGTTTTTTAAGTATTTAAATTATTATTTATATGTGAAAAAAAACGAGTTACAAAAGAAAAACGAAATAACTGATACTATAGTATACTCTTTATAGTTTCTTCTGACAAAAAAACTGCTTTCCTCTATTTCAATTCCAATGCTTTCGGAAATGATTTGGATATTGAATTGTTGGAATTTAAATAAAACTTTTTATCACATGAATAAAAATACATTTCTAACCCTATATTGATATAGATATATTATACATTTAATTGTTTACATACCCTTATTTTTAAGGTCTAATTTTCTCATGTTTTCCATACACTAGTACAGATTTCGGACATTTACCATAATTGAACAAATTCATATATTAATTTAGAATCGTAATTTCTGATCAGCGTGTAAATTAGACCGTTCTGAATTTTTTTTTATCGCTTATGACTTTTCATCTTCTTAGTCAAAGTTTTGAGACCTGCCCCCCTTAAAAATAGTTTTCTACTGTACGCGGAAGTTGACAACATTATTGTTACCAAGAATGACCTAAATCAAGAGAATGCCGACTTTCACCGGTGAATGTCAACAATCACATAGTCGTTTTGGTGAATGTCCGAAATATTTGTTACATCCGATTTGATATTGATTTATTTGTTGATATTATTATATTTATTCGAGATTTTAATACCTGCTGAGGTTAGATTAGGAGAAACATCAGTGTTCAGAGTACCGAGCAAATCCACACTAGGCAGTATCACTTGACCTTTCAATAAACACTGATGTAGGTCATACAGGGTAAAAGTATACTGGGAAATGGTACATAACTAGACCAAGTGTATATTTCGGACATTTACCAAAATGACTTTGTGTTATTATCATGCACCGGTGGAAGGCAACAATCATCAATTTCGTTGTCACGATGGCTCAGGGGATAGAGCGCTCGCCTTACAATGAGGTGAGCTGTGGGTTCGAATCTCGGCGATGGCTGATCGATATGAATTCTGCATCCGGTTTGCACCGAACACAGTGCCGACGTGAAATATCCTCAGTTGTAGTCGGATCATGGGTTAGAGTCCCCTTTGCAGCCAGGCTAACCGTGAGAAGTCCTCATGATCTTCCTCTTCATGTAACGCAAATAAGGGTTAGCTCTCCGTCAGAAAGTCCTCCAAGGAAGCAAATTTCTCCCAATACTTGATCCTTCGTCTTCTAGATTGGGTCCAAAATTACAAGGCTACGTAGTTGAACATTAGCAGTCGTAAGCCCAAAAGTTGAGTCGGCTGTTCAAAAATTCATCATATTCGGCCATTTAACGTAACATTATAACAAGCCATGCATTTTTTTCTTATATACTTTAACACAGCTGCCAACAGTTTTTGGCAGAAGTTTTTTTTTCCAGTAACAGTAAAATGTTTATATTAATATTTATGTTTTGCTCAATAAATATGAATATCAAGTTACCCAAATTTTAACCCTTCTGAAACCCCTCAGAAAAGATGATCAAATAAAATTTGAAAAGGGGCTGATAGAATATTTACTACAAGATTAACTATCCCGGTTCTTGTTTCACAGCATGGGATTAGGCCCCGACTGGTTAAGGTCTGGTTTCTTAGGACAAGCGCCTTATCTGGGCGTCAACGTGCCGCTGACGTCAACAAAATACTGGTTGGTTAGCTCAAGGCCTGGTTTCTTAGAACTAGCGCCTTATCTGGGCGTCAGCGGAAAGTTGACGTAGAGCTGACGCCAAAAAAATACTTTTTTGTTAGCTCAGCGTGAGCAGTCGGTCCAACGCAGACATTATCTCTCATTGCGCATGCGTTAATAACGTAAACAAATATTTATTTTGAATTTGTATTGATTTTGTTATTGTCGACCAGTGTTTTAGAGAACAAATAATGACTTTGTCCAAGAAAAAACACATTATAGCTGAGCTAAATGAAGAGTGCTATGTTTAATGAAGAAGCTATGTTTAATGTCAAAATCAAAATCTTGGCTGATTTCAATGTGCTGTTGGATGTTGTCCGCCATTGCTTCTGTGGTTAACGTCACGTTGTAATCCAACTGCAGTTGAGTTGGACGGCAATTGTAGTTCAAGATGAGCGGTCGATGACGTATATTATCAAACTCACAAATGGACCAATCAGTGGTTAGCGCTGATTTCCAGCTGACAGCCTCCGGTCCTAAGAAACCAGGCCTTTAGAGAAGACATTAACGAATGGAATAATGATCTCCAATTGCCAAGAATCTGAGACATGTTCCCTCGTGTCAAAGCAGTGAATGATCTGTCAGAAAGACCTCTGTAGCTAATTCAAGACGTCTTAAAACGCAAAAGCAGCTTTTATTACAATAAGTCGATTGTCATCGCAAAACAGTCTCCATTTCTTTTTTAAAAAAAAGAGGCAAACAAATTAAATTTACAATGATTGTATTTATTAATTAAATGTATAATGTACTGTCTAAACTGAGCCAAATGTTTTAGTTACTGCTTAATATAGTTATCTTGTTATGAAAAACGGGTTTCTATTAAAAGAAAAATATTTTTGTCCTTGTCTTAGTGCGTATGAAAACGATATAGCTTAAAGATTAAATCAGTAAATCGTGCTGAGCAGAAATTGAAAAATCGATAACTGACTTAAAATTTTGTAAATATTCATATTTTTCTAGTCAGAACGTTACAGGACACGTGCACCTTCGATTTTTCATAAGTATTTTTTTCACATACATTCATTCATAGGTCTAGTATTTGAGTTATTAAAAAATAACACCTTAATTGAAATTGTAATTTATCAAATAGGAAGGTATGCAGTAAGTATTACTTAAGTATGAATATTAACATCGAAATATTTTTATTCGAGTCAAAAATTTGAATATTTCTTAAAAGTTATAATTATTTATAAACCAAACCAAAACTTGTAATTATTTAGGTAACTTGTAAACTTGTGATTAGTAAGGAATTCCTGCATTAATGAAGGATAGAATTTTTAATTGAATTGCACTGAGTTGATGACTTTCTAAAACAATTCTTGTTAATTATATGAGTTCAACATTTTTTATTAAATAGCGATAAATTTTTGAGCTTATTGAAATTATCATTAGATAATGAATATAAGTAATTAATGATAAAGATTATCTTTGCGAAAGGAATATTTTTCCTTATTATTGAATAAGGATGATTTAAAGTGTTAATCTATAAGCTCCTTATCTATAAGCTCAACGAAGTTCTTAGAATATCCCAATGAGTTAATAATCTTAACTTTGGTCAGCATTTCAAAATGTTTGGAGAAAGTGAAAAGGGCAGTACAATAAGCGAGCAATAGTTTAATCCCAAGAGTTGCATCCACGTTTATTAAGCCATGGACATAAATTCAACACATCAAGTATTAAGAGTTCTGAATTGTGTTAAAAGTCACATTGTTGTAAGATAATCTGGACATAATTGAAAACATCAAATTTTTAAAAGTGTGTTTCGAATTGTCTAAATGACACATTGTTGTAAGATAATTTGCATTCACAGTCATAAAAATTTGAAAAAGTGTAATTAAATGTCAAAAACTCTTACCCTGCTCATTATTCAAAGGAACTTTCTTGCATTGCTGAATGGATCCGAGAGAATAAAAGCTGAAAGGCAAAAAGTAAACTTTAGTTCTAAATAAGAATCTTTTTGTTGACAATACAAGAAATTTTCGCATATTTCATTCGAAGTGCTAAATTAATCGCGTAATTAAAATAATTCTTCGTATTAATCCATGAGCTCACGTAATTTTTTTTTCATGCCATGATGAAATTCTTACTTTATTTAAATAACTCTAGTTAATCCCCCCAGCACCTACAGCCTTTTTTAGGGAAATCATATGCTAAAACAAATTAGTTTTTTTTTTTCAACAAGCAGGAATAATTTGAAGTATTCTTTAGAATATTTTTTGTAAAACGCAGAACACATAAAAAATTCTAGTGATCAAAAAAATCCTTTTTTTTTTGAAGTTTTAAAATCCATCTTAAAAATACAAAATGCAGATAGTGAATTCCAGGATTGAACTGACCTCTGTACTCGGCAGTAAAATTTTCAAAAGTAAATTTTAAATTGCAATTATGTTCAATTTTTATTTTCTTAACACATACTCGACATGATTAATTGCTTCTAATTGTTTTGGAAAAAAAACATTATTTTTAAAAATAGATTATTACTAAAATCAAGATGCTGTAACAAAACATAATACACAAGTTTCGACTCTTTTCTCGTCATGTACCTAGTCTTGTACTACTTTATTTGAAAAAATATTGCAGACCACTCGAATATGTAACACTATTCTCCCTTCTAAATGCTCCATCTTTTTTCAGTAACGGCTATTTTTACTTAACAAACATCTGAAGTATATTTCTTTACTTAAAATTTACGATCAGAGTTGGTAATGTCAAATTCTACTAAAATTTGAAAGATAGAATTTTCTATTTAAATATTTTTCATAATGCTGTATTTATTATATTGAAAAAAGTTTTTCAAATATACTTTGTAAATTCAGACCTTTATATTGAAATTTAAACTATGTATCAAAGAAAAAAAATTAAAAAAGAGTTCCAAAGTTACTCCTCTTTTTATTATACGAAATTCTTGAATTACGCAAAATTCGCTCTGGAATTCCGTTGCATCATTGAATTATTTGAAATACTGCCCTCATTTCGATTTAATTTATGATTGAATATTTTATTTTCAGGTGGTTTGGAAGCATGTAGGGGACGGTGAATAAATTTTAATGCTTGTAAATGATGTTTTGAACCATGTAAAAGTAGTTCTTTATTTCATTTTAAATTCTAAAAACGATTTTCATGATCTAATTAATACTATGAAATAGTGGGAAAAAATTTTTGAAGTCTAAATATTTTGGAGAACATTTTAGTAATTTTGAAGTACATTTTGAAAATTCTTGTACCAGCTGCAGAATGCTGGAACATGAAATTTTTAATTAAATTAATGAAGACTATTTGTTCTAAATAGATAAATTTTTAAAATTCCTTACGTAGTTTTATTGTATCCCTGGTTTACATAAATTACTGTTGTTATTCGATTTAATTTATCTTGAAATATTTTATTTTTAAATGGTGTAGATGCCGCATTAGGTGGTGGTGAGTAAATTTTAAATTTTGTAAGTGATGTGATGAACCAAGTGAAAATATTTCTTGAATTCAATAATATATTTCAAAATTATACAATGATTTTTATGTTCTGATTTATAAAATTAAACGGAATATAAATATTTTAAGACACTTTAGAAATAAAAACTTCTCATACGACAGATATCGAATGTTGGAAAATGAAGTTCTAAAAAATTTAATTATTAAAATTAATTTATCTATTTAGATGGTGGTGCAGGAGGTCTCATGAGCAAAAGCAGGAAAATGTGAAACTTTAAAAATTACATACAGAATGTTCCGTATGACCACCCTTAATAGATATTTTTCGACACCTTGTCAAAAATAGTGTGATAAAAACATTCACATTCAAAAATTAGTAATTGTGTTAAGAAAAATTAAAACGGTATTCGAAATCTTACGAATCAGGTATCAAAACCAGTTTTAAAACCTGATTAATATTAGAGTTGTTTCTTATATTTACATTTTCAATACATTTCAGTGTATTTCAAACATGTTTGGAGTTTTTTCATATCCGCATTCAACGGTAAATAAATTCTAAATCCTGCAATGAAATTTTTAACTAAAATGAACTGGAAAGCTTTATGTAAAATTTTCATATGAATTCTTAAAGAGTAACCACTTTGTTTAATATTTTGTTTCATAGAGGTAGGAAATCTTTAATTCGAGCAACTTTGGAAAAATTTTACATTCTTTACATTCTAAGTAATAAACTTTTGATAATTCTGAAGGATTATGATTAAACACCACCTTTGGTATCAGATGTTTAATTACATGTATTATAGAGAAAAAAATTAATGATGGAATATACAATAATATGCATTTATTCGTAAATTATCGTGCCATTATTCGTAATTAAAATGCAATTATTCGTAATTTATCGTGTTATTACGTTTTTCATCAATATTAAATTGATAAGTGACAATATAAGGTATCATTATTTTTACTTTAAGTGTCAGAAATTAAATAAAAATAAGAAAATTTTGTTTGTATTTATTTCTAATTTGTTTCTCTGAGAAATGTCTAACAAATACAATAAATCACTCTCAGGAACGCAGCGTAAATATTCCCAAATTTAGCAATTTAAAAAAAACGTGCCAAAAGTAGTTGTTGCGCAGCATTTTCACCTAATGACTCTTCTCACAATGATGGAATACTAACTAATACAATAAATCTCGACCGTTAAATTTAAAATCATGACATCTAAAGATGTCATGATTTTAAATTTAACGGTAAAATCATATTCATATTTATATGCAGATCTTTATATGCAGATCTTTAAAGAAAATAAAAAGAAAACTACTTAATTCGTTTCTCAAAAATGCGATTTTAGAAATACTTTATTCAATGTAAGCATCTTGATTTATTTCATCGTTAAATTTTTCTTCTTTCAGTGGCTGATATGCTTGGTGGAGAGTAGTTTTGAATATTTAAAAGATTCCAACATTTTGATTTGCATTTGTTCTTTGAGTTCAACACCACACAGAATTTTAGCAATGACTTCATTCAACTTAAAACATCAATATTTATAAAAGTTGAAATACTAAATAGCCCCAGCTATAATTTCATACTCTAGTTTTATAAGAATAATTATTTCAGAATATATATAATTATTATTTACAGAAAAAGGGAAAACTCAATTTTCTAAGGGATTAATATTTATAGTATAACTTAAGTATCAAATTTCTGCTTAATCAAGTATTTTCGTTAACCAAATCGAATGAAATACTGTAGAGTAATTTTAAGGATAGAGCCTNAAGACTGAATAGCTTATTAGTGCAGAACTAATTCAACGTTAACAACTAAATCAACGCAGTCAAAAATCTGTAAACGTGATCAAAATCACCTCTAAAATCTTATGACCCAAACGCAATGGTGCGATTTGGTATAGAGCAATTCCAAAATAATAATAATAAATAAAGCAAAATGTTGAAGTTTCAAACTTTAGCAAACTTGACATGTTTTATATCTGCTTAAAGACTAAAGTGTTTATTTTATTGTAGTGCAACTTGGCTTTTATAAATATTTAATTACCATTTTATTTCAAGCTAAAAACTTTAGTTTCAAATTTTTTTTCGCGAAATATGCGAAATTAAGAGATTAAATAAACACTATCTTAATGTTTCAAAGCAAATTTCCAGAATTTATTATAATTTACATAATTTTAGCCGCATAATACAGCAGTTTTGTTTAGAAAGACAACCTTTTAAGAAAAAGAAAGTTTTTGCATATGTAAAATTTCAAATTACCAATTTCTAGTCACGTCCGTAACAAAAAGTAAGTTAAAGTTTACGTACATAGTATATCTTACGTGAGTAACAGATCGAGAATTTGAATTTAAAATAAATTAAATTCTATAAATGATTCGAATGCATTTTAAAGATAACAAATAATATTTTTCATGTTATTTCAATTATCCTAGAATTCAATTTCATATTATTTAGAATTTATATTCTAAGCTACATATTTCATATAAAGTGAGTATTTTCAGATGACGTTTTGCCCTAACAAGTTGAATGTTTTGAAAAAAAAAGAGAAAAATAATTTATGTAATGACAACTGGAAAGCTTTAAAATTAAAAGAAAATGTGCTTGAACTTATATTGAAATTAAAGACTAACTTGAATAAAACGAATTGAGTTGAGCAATGCTCGGAATGAGTAACTTGAATTTGAGTTTAAGCAATAATCGGAATTTTTAGAAAATGAAGTCAACTAAAATATCTATAATTATGATAGTAGAAATACGAATATATAAAAAACCAAAGAGCCCATAAGTGTACAGTTCTAATTCAATAATAACAACCAAAGTCAATGCAGTAAAAGTAAACTGCAAACGCGTTTAAAATGACCTCTGAAATGATCAAAATGATAATTTAATATGATCTTATGTGATCAAAACACGGTAAAGCGATTTGCTGTTGGGGAATTCCAGAAGAAATAAAGCCAAGTGTTGAAATTTCAGACTGTAGCAAACTTGACATATTTTCAATCACTTTAATGTATAAAGTGAATATTATTATGCAGTGCAACTTAATTTTTATTAGCATTTAATTAAGTATTAATTAAATGCTAATAAAAATTAAGGCTTTGTCTAGTTTAGAAGCATAAAGTTAAAATTATGAATAGAAAATCTTTTTTTCTTAAATTAAAATTTTTGCACTTGCAGAATTCTAAATTGCTAAGTTTTTGTTAACTCCGCGAGGAAAAAAAAAGTTTAAATTTTATGAGAACAAAGTAATATGTCAAAAGAAAAACTTTTCTGGTCATTTTACCATTGTAGTATTAAGTATATATTTTTTTTCTATGTCCTCCTGATTGACACTAGTCATCCAAATATCAGAAGGGTAGATTGGTTACCCACTCTTTCAGGAGCACTATATTAGGAGCCGTCTCTGAAAGTACTCCCACACTAAGGACAGACAATAAAGAGAATGAAAGAACATCCATGTCTCATTCGGGATTCGAACCT